AAGGAAGGGAGGAAGGAAGGAAGGAAGGAAGGAAGGGAGGGAGGGAGGGAGGGAGGGAGGGAGGGAGGAAGGAAGGAAGGGAGAAAGGAAGGAAGGGAGGAAGGGAGGAAGGAAGGAAGGAAGGAAGGAAGGAAGGAAGGAAGGAAGGAAGGAAGGGAGGGAGAAAAGAAAAGAGAGAAAGGAAACTCTACGAAAAGACCAGGTAGTCTGAGATCAAATCCTCCTGCTGTACAACTATTAGTTTTGTGGTCTTGGGCAAAGGATGTAATCTCTCTAGAGCTTGGCTTTTAAAACTATAAGAGTTGAGTAATAACAGAAACCCTCCCTTTGTGGAAGCAACAAGAATTAAACATCACCAGGTAACAGATCAGAGATGGAGCATTTGCCTAGGATGAAAGATGCCCTGGGCTCCATCCTCAGCACCAATAAACAAATAAATCATGTACAATGCATTGCCATAGCAAGACTCAGTTAATACTAGCTATGGTGCCTTTTTTATTTGGACTACAAGCTGGGCGGTGGTGGTGCACGCTTTAATCCCAGCACTCAGGAAGGCAGAGGCAGGTGGATCTCAATGAGTTCGAGGCCATCCCAGTCTACTTTCCCCATTTGTTTTGTTTTCTTTAAAAAGCAAAACAACAACAAAAACAAAATCAGAGTCTCAAGTACCCAGGATGACCCCTAAAACGTAGCCAAGGATGACCTTGAACTTCTGACCCTCCCACCTCTACCTCCTCAGGGTTAGGACTACCGAAGTGAACCATGCTGGCTTTATATGGTGCTGGGGATAACTCAGGGCTTCAAGCGTGCCAGGAAAGCACGCTGCCGAGTGAGTTATAATCCCAACAACAAATTTCTCCATTTCTTAAAAAATTAGCGTACACATTCCTCGCCTTGTATGCCCCTGGCATGGTTCCTGGCCCGGTTAGATTTCCCAATCTCGGCACTGACAGTTCGTTCTTCGTGAGTCTTTGCTGCAGGGAGATGTCCCAAGTGCTGTGGGATATTTAGCAGCATCTGAGGCAGACTGCCTCCCCTCCCCCACCTGGACAACAAGCAGCAGTTCAGGTGAAGGAAGGCCTTCCTGCCAGGACAGGGTGCAATTCATGCAGCCTTCTTAACCTGGAAGGGAGGATAATATCTACAGACAGCTAAGTGGGACCCGTGGAGGCAGTCATGAGAGTCAACTGGTGTGACCAACCAAGGCCCATAGAACTCCTGGGGACATGGTGCCGGCTCTAACCAGGGTGATGAGAAAACTCCAGAGAGGAGGTGATACTTTAGTCAGCCACACTGTAATCATGGCCACTAATAACAGTGACTTCCTCCCTTATCAGGAGCAGATAAGTTGCTTCATTAATCATACCTGGATAAGGTACTGATTAAGGAACTGCCCGAGGTCCACGGTTAATCAGCACAAAGCTGAGCCAGATCTCAAACCACCCACATTGTTCCTTACTTATTCCTCAGCTCGATTTCCACGAGAGCCTCACAGCTGGAGGAAACCCAGTTCTTGACTCTGGTAGAAAAACCTAAACACGGAACCCAACAGCCCTGTGCGCATGGGTCTGACAGTGTGAAGGCCCTCAGGATGAGCGGAATGTTGTTAGCTGCAGGTAGAGACACAATTCTAACAGAATCCTTAGCTTCCATCAGCGGACAGGAGGTCTAACAGGGCAGCGCTGGACTTGGGGAGCGAGGAGCCCTAACAGAGTAATTCAGGCTTAGCATGCATAAAGGCCTGATTTCATCCACAGCATCCCCCCCCCACAAACACACACACAAAACAAGAACAAGATGTCTGGTATAAGTCCAGTCGCACTAGAACAGGGTGAGATGCAGCCAGAGAAAAGGCAGACAGTATAAGGTCCTTGAGCAGGGCGCCATGGGGCCTGTGATGTGCTCTGTGCTGAGGGAAGGGTGGGTGACTTTAAGGGTGATAGTCACAGCACCGAGGAGAAGGAGAACTGCCCTAAAATGAATCCATGAATCCGTCTAGGAGGGTTGAAGAGGAGAATTCTAGAATGAGGGGATAGTGTCTAAGGAAGAGTAGGTAAGTAGGTACTGGTGACATCCTCCCTCCAGATTCGTCACTGAACTCCCTAGCTAATACTTAGCCAATAAACCCTGCTGTCAGGACCAGAGACTTTAATTAAGGTTTAATGAAGTCAGAGGAGCCAGTTCTCTAGCAGAGTTCATCTGACCTGTCACAGCTTCAAAGCGGGAGGAAGAGTGATTAGTGGTCTAGGTGGACTGTAAAGCACAGCCGGAACTTCAAAATGCATCGGGGGCTGAATCGGGGAGAGAGGGGGATCAGCGTGTGGAAGGCCTTGGGTTCCCTGGAAGGAAGGCAGAAGGCAAGGAGAGGGGTGGGCGTGGGGAGAAAGTTCTAAAGCTTCGAACACTGAGGACTTACAAAGTGTCTCCAGAGAGGCTGGAGAGATGGCTCACCAGTTAAGAGCATTGCTGCTCTTCCCAAGGATGCAAGTTCGAATCCTAGTACCTACATCTGGCAGCTCACGACTGCCTATAAATCAAGCTCCAAGAGATCCAATGTCCTATTCTGGCAGCCCTCCACACACACAGATACACATATGCATAAATAATAAAATAAATCTTTTTTTAAAGAAAAAATGTTTCTAGATCCCCTCCCCACACAGACACACATATACATAAATAATAAAATAAAGCTTAAAAAA